ATAATAATAAGTATTTGTCGTAGAAAAAGTAGGTATAGTATGCAACTCGTTTATAAACTTTTCTAAACACTCATTAATTTAAGAACTCGCTCGCAAGCTCGATCGTGCCTAAATTAAGTTCGTGTATCAAACTTGATACATAATATACAGGCCTCCCGCTAGGTCACTTATAGTAAAAAGTTACTTTTTGGTTGGTGCGGTTACTATTGGTTACTTTTTGTTGAAAAAAGTTACTATTTTTGTCCAATATATTTTCTTATTTCAATATAACCCTGTATTAATTAAGCATATTAACTCGTATGCGAAAATAATATACTCATAAAATTTTGTGATAAACTGTATGTTTCTTGGGATGAAAATAAAGTATTTTATTTATTTATTTATTTATTAGCGATGCAACTGATATGAATACGATTTGGCAACCCAGCTGGCGCGAACTTTACAAGCAAAGCGGAAACTGTCGGGTGTGTATCAAGATTACGGTGCTTCATTTTACAGCGACATCTTTTTTCAAAGTCCCACCTGAAAATCTTGTAACCGGTCAGAAAACAAATTTTGAGCTATTACAAAGCTCTTAATTTTTATTTTAAGCCGTTGCTATTTAATTTTTAAATATTTCCTTTTAAAAACCATTAAAAAACAATTTTTTATTCTTTTCTCCTTCCGCTCGTACAGTAAGAATATTTTTTTCGAATTTTGGTTCTAAAATCTTTATACAGGATTAAATTATCTTCAAAAATGTCTATTTAAGCACGTCTGTAAGTTGAATATGTCCTTCACAAATTGCCGTTCTACTCGAAAATCTTCTAAAATAGCAGTTAATCGTATTTGGAGACTAAACTATTGATTGTAGATAAAAAACGTAAATGACAATTTTATAGGGAATTTTGTGCCCTACAAATTTGTTAATCTTAATTTTTTTAATCAAATTACTTTATTTTGTAAAAGTTAATTATGCACCTCATTCTGAATATTATAATTTTTATATTTAAGATGGCTTTGGGGCGGTGCACAGTGTTTCAATTCTCGAAAATATCGGCAAAACCTTAAAAATTGACATTTTTTTTCAGGTAAATTTTGATTTGGATGGGTAGTTAATACCTGTCTCCATCCTGTATTGATAAAAAATTATATAAAATACGTATATTTTGTCTTGTACATCAGTTTAAACTTGACGCTTTCAGTTGAAGGTAGTTTACACGCGATCGATGCGGAAAATTGTTTATTGTTGAAAAGTGAATAACTTGTGTTTGGTGTGTCCGATTGTTATGCGGTTTGATGAAGGGTGATCTTCAAGGTATCTAAAATTTAGATATGTATTTGTTTTTCGTAGATTTTGCTTGTACAACGGGATAATGTAACCGACAAGATCGGTTTGTTAAAATCGCAAACTTTAAATCGAGCTTTTAGAACAATGGAGCTACAGAAATTGTAATGAATTGTAAGGCATTAGTTCAAGATTCGTTGAATAGCTTAGAGTTTTGTCTTGCCCCCGTCTCTTTAAAACTACATGTTCTTGGGCGCTCAGGCACGGTTGTGGTAAAAAAACCTCGCGATTTTAAGCCTATGTCGAGCGCGTATCTGTGTTTTTGCTTTACAAAATACAAGATTTTTTATTATTTCTGGGTTGCGTTCATGACGTTTACTCGATTCACTCGGATTTAACTCAAAACGTTTATTACAACAGCGCACTTAAATCGTTCGTGACTACTAAGATATTTAACACCGATTTTACATATTTAATCCACCTCTTGTAGGTGCGTTAAAACAACTCCGCATGCGCATTGTAGTGTGTTAATGTAAAATTTGAATTGTGGTTATTTGTGTTGACAATTTTTTTAGCAAATTAAGAAATTGTTGCTAAAATATTAAGTAAAAGAAATAATACAAATTTAAAATACTTAGTATAAAATGTGTTATATTTAAATTTTATAAATAAATTTTGAAAGTTTCGCTTATGGCATCTTCCGACCCGTATATTTCTAGCTTCAGAAAAATTGCTCCGAAAAATAGCAAATCTTTGTCCCGCGAAGCAATAAAACTGTTGCTATCTTCTGATGGTTTCCCTTGCTCTGCTAATGATACAACTAGCGAATCCAGTGACGGAGATTGTTTAATATATATGTAGGTATTAAATAATATCATATAAATGTAATTATAATAATCTAAATTAAGCTATTTTATAAAAAGATGTTTTATTACATTTTAAAAAGAACCTTCTACGGGTTTTTAATTAATTTCGACAATATTTGATGAAAATGTCCGCCATTTGAGGTCCACCATTTTGAATTTTGGAATTCTGATTCCAGATTCATTATCAGGGACCACAAAACCCCCTGTATGGTGATTTTCAATTAATTCCGTCAATTTTTTTACAAATATGTCCGCCATTTTGGATCTACCATTTTGAATTTTGGAATTCTGATTCAAGATATTTTTTTAACCATTCCAGAAACATGTTACAAGTCCCTGGTTATTAGTGAGTAGTGACCGTCCCATCACGCTACGTAAGATTTGAATAACACAAACACAACACCCCAACCAGTTCCCCAACCCTTTCTCTAAGACATAAAATTTAAGGCCCTGTAAGGGAACTATTTCCCGGGCCCTAAAATCATTCCAGCGCCTGATCATGTACTGCTAACTAACTAAATTTCATAAATACCTTAAAACATAGGGCAAAATTTATCGAACACAGACACTGCTTAGCAGTGACTGCTATCTAATATAACTAGGAGTTATTAACTTCTGATTAATTTCATCTGAAATAAATTTATATCCTTGGCATAAAAACAGAAGCGAATTTGCTTTCGGCACGCGCCTAAAGAGCGGCATGCTTTGAGCGCGCCACGCCTTTGTCTTTTGTCGGCTTTACACCACGTTATTACAAATAAGCCTCATTATTATAAAATAATAAAAACAGTAGAATATTCGCTACTCTATCGTACTCATAATTGTTTATTTGATTTATGTTTGGTAGAAATAAACCAATTGGTAACAATTTTTTTTTGTTTAAGTAATTTTGCGCTAGAATATCGTTTATTTCATTGTATCAAGTTAATTTGACAATAAAAACGCCATTTTTTATTTTCGAGAGAAAAAAAATTAAAAAAAAAATTTCTCCACCGAGAATTGAACCCGGACCTGCTGCGTGGGAGGCCGATAACCCAAACACTACTTGGAAATTGTAATTGGAAATTAGATAATAATGAATGTTTATTGTTTTTAACAATTAAAATGATCTTTTATTACTTTATTTTATTACTCTTATTTTACACCCTTTTATTGCAGCAGGGCAGTGTGATCCTCGAAGTACAGTTCTTTATTTTCAATAAATCATAACTCCAAAACGAAAAAAGATAGACTCGTGCCGTTTTCACCAAATTATTTGCCATCAAGAAATCATTTTTTCAAGTTATATACTTTGTGTCATTAAAAGTACGTTTTCCTCCTCGAAATGGGAACAATCGTTTTAAACCTTTGGATAACATTTGTTATTGTTCTAATTGACGGAATAGAACTATCCGGATATATAACTGAGAATAGGTCTCTTGTTTGACGTAGAGAATTGTCCACTAAAAACCAGCTTATCATGTCAATTTTCTCTTGCAATGTGTAGGACATTATAACTTATAATTTTAAATAAAAGAAATTAATTTATGTTAAACCGATCGAAATACACACTAGCAAATGCAAAACAAAACTGAATCCTCGCTTACGCCGGCAATCTGCTTACAATGCATCTGGGAAGGGGCGATTGGATTCACTCGGGTTCACTCGTATAGCTCTCTTTCTCCTTCTCTCTACGTTATATCTTTTTCTCTCTCGTGTAACGACATCTCGGAACGTTACATTTTTTCCAATTCACTCTCCATTCTCGTCAAATTCAAAAAATTGTATTAACAATACATTTACTTTTAATTCTAAATAACTAAGATCTTGGTCTATGAAATCTAATTAATTACGTAAATTTAACCAGTATATTTTTGCCGCTTTCTACTTTTAAAATATATTTATATTTAAAACAGTATTAAATCCTCCCTACTTATCAAAATTTCCAGATTTTCAAATTTGTACAGAATCAAGATTTTTAGTATATACTAATTAAACGTTAAAATTTTCTAATAATATTTTAAATAGTTTTAAAATATTTTAATTTTTAAGTGCTTAAACAAGATGCAGTACTAAGGAAAAATTTCAATTTCCAAGTGTAGTACAGGGTAAAATCGACATTTAAATATTACAAAAATTATATAAATTAGCAACAACGACGAATAGCACGATAATGAGGTGATCAAATGTGTTGTAAATAGTTTACGAAATAATGATTTTTCAATCAAACTGTGCAATACTTGGTTTTAATTTTCCTCTTGCGTCAAAAATCGTAGGCTCATTTGTAAAATTTCTACTTAATATTAAAATTAACTATGCTAAATTTTATCTCAACTGGATTTACATTAAGAAAATTATTGAGTGACCAATTAAATTTTAAATATACCTTTACTTGCGGCCAAAAATGGGTCTTTGTCATTTTCTAAAAATCCTGTTGAACGCTGGTTTTTACTGAGTTGTTCTAGCTTCATTACTTCCAGTATTTGCTTATTAAATATGATATTATCCAAATGGTTTTTACTAAATTGTTTTAGCTTCATTACTTCCAAAGTTATGATTTTTGAAAGTTTACGTTTCCAAAAATTCAATTTTGAGAAAAACGCGTTTAAAGTTTCCGAAAAGTTTAATTGTGAATTGGGGCCTACAAGGAATATCAATATTGATATCAACCCCATTTTTTTCTATGGATCTAGAAATTTGATACACGGCAAAATTTGAAAAAAGCATGTTTTTGTTCAAGCAAAAACAGTAGAAAAACTTAAATTAACAACATTGTTAATTTAAGTTTTTAAGTAAAATAATCTTGTGATTAACATTTCTTGTCAGAAGTATAACGTGGGAAGGATAAATCACTTTTAAGTAAGAAACTATTTTAAACTTTTTTTTAGAAATCCCAGCTGGTTTGCCAGTTGAATTCTTGGTTGGATTCCGCAACAAAGGCAAAGATCCATTTGTAGTTGAATCATTAGAAGCTTCATTCAGATACCCAATGGACTTTAACTTCTTTATCCAAAACTTTTCCGCCATTGGATACAACAAAATCGTATCTTCTCAAGAAGAAGCCACTTTCCACTACAGTTTTGTGCCATCAGAAGCCTTTGCTGGAAGGCCTTTTGGTTTAAACATCAACTTGGCTTATCACGATAACAATGGAAACTCCTTCCAAGAAGCAATGTTCAATGAGACTGTACAAATTGTTGAACTAGAAGAAGGTAATAATTATAAATGCACAATTAATTACTTTTTCTTAATTATAATAAATATTGTTGGTACAATTAACTAATTGTTTATATTTTTTAGGGCTTGATGGGGAAACTTTCTTTTTATACGTATTTTTGGCAGCTTTGGTTGTTCTTTTGTTGGTTATTGGGCAACAAACTCTCTTGTCTGTTGGTAAGAAACGCACCAGCACCCGTAAACATACTCCAATTGAAACTGGAACTAATAACCCCAACAACGTTGATTACGACTGGCTGCCAAAACAAACCCTAGCCAATCTAAACAAAGAAAAACTACATAAATCACCAAAATCTCCAAAACAAAGTCCAAGACAACGTACAGCTAAAGTAACAACAGGCTCAAAATAGAAAGTGCAAATGACTGATTTTATAAAACTCATAAATTCATAGACATTCATTTCATTTTGTACATTGTACAGTAAAAGGACTTTTATGTGAAATCAATCGTTATTTATAAATAATATTTTAAGTTGTTTGTTTATATTTAGTTTTGTATCCCTGTTGTAAGTTTTTGTTATCAAATTTCAGTAAAGAAGATACATGTAAATATGAGTTGATCGTACTGGTGAATGTGAATAAACGGCTTTTTTATAAGAATTTTTTTTTTTTTTGAATTTTCCCTCAAATAGATACCTAACTTGCAAAATGAAATTTTGCACTTTCCAAATTAGTTTTAAAAATGACGAAATACCGGTGATTTCAGTAGGTTGAGTCAACCTATTCTTCTAAAGTGGATTTTCTGAATTCGAGAAAGGTAGGGCAGACATAAAAAAATGTGTTTCAAATTCTCTTCCCCCAGTTTAAGGCGGAGTCTGCTTTAGAAGGCTAAAAAAAATCGATTTTTTTTTATTGCCAAAATCTATTCCTAATATATCTAAAAATATGTATGTAAAGTTATAAAGGCTAATTCGGAATATTTAATCGCACAACGGATCAAGAGGGAAAACCGACGTATACGTCTTATTCCAGCAAGGAAGCTCGCACGGCCCGTAGACTCGACCAACTGCATCAAAATGAGTTTTTTGAGGAAGTTGAAGGTTTACTTTATGGCGCCGAAATAGCTGATTAGCGTATCGTAACTGTAAGTAATAGAAAATTAAATTAATTTTTACGATAGCAAACTTTCAAGCGCGTTTTCTCGAGTTTTCGATTTTTCTAAACTGGCGGGTGTAATTGCAAGAAAACTAGACGACCAATTAAAACAAACCAATGCTTGTTAGCTTTGGTTTTGTATTGTCTTCTACTTGAACTAAAAAGATTCACGAAAAAAATTCTGAACAACTTTTTCAGCAAGTTGAAATGATTTTTTCGTTGTTTCAAAAGACATTTTTTTTCAAACCTGTAAAAAATGTTTAATTTTAAAAAATTTCGAGTTTTTCTTAGTCTATCTAGAAGATTAATATATAAAAATTGAAAAACTTTTTGGTTTTTTTGTTTCAGTCGAAAATTAGGAGATCCATCTTGCCCGCCGATTGGTTACTGCAATTGCGAGGTGTTGTGTACGAAAATTAACTACGTTTGAATATTTTTCTCTTAATTTTTTTTTTTTTTTAATGTTTAAAGATGCCATAAAATAATCTGAAAAACTTCGCTAGACTTGCTTTTTCTTTCTTAAAAAACTCCTATAAAAAACGCCTTTATTAGGCCTTATAAAGCAGACTCCCGCCTTAAGGCTCTACAACGAGGACGGTATACTTTTCTTAGTGTGTATAGATGTTTGTTTAGTCTACAGTGTCCCGTTATAATTTTGTCAGACGGATTTGTAATTATAGTTTTGGTGTGACAGCATGAACCTAAATTAACCCATCTTATTTGATTTTTTTATCTGAACTTTTAAGGTTGATTTTGTTGATTTTGACTGGAGAGGTTCCATGCCTACTGGCATTTTTGCCGATCCCTGTCTTGAAAGTTCATCAGCTTTTTTATTTTCTTCATTACAATCCCTGCTGGAAAAACCTGATTAAAACTTAATCAGATTCGATCAGGATAAGAAATTCCCAATCAGTTTTGGAAATATCGATCAGATCCAATCAGGTTTCGAATTTTCGATCAGAATTCGAAATTCCCGATCAGATCCGATTACGTTTAGAAATTCCGTCTTGCTTGTGTCAGGGTAAAACATTTGTTTAAAAGATAAGGGAGATAACAACGCCTGTATTGCTTCTCGGCCTATGGGCTATGGCTAAAGGCAGCTATAGGCTTTTTCATAAAAAAACTTATGTGTGACGGTTTTCCACCAAACATCAGTTTTTGACATTCTTGACATGACGCGACGTTCCGAATCACGGCGATACCTTCGGATAAAAAAACGAAGTCTGTTGGGGTCTTAAAAAATACAGGGTGAGTGATAAAAACCGCACACATTTCAAAGCGGAATTTCTCATCAGTAGAGCAAGCTTTGTGGTCTCATTTGAAAGAAAAATTTAAAAAGTCTTTGTTGGTTTTAGGCTTTAGTACCGATTAAAGACAAGAGATCATTGAAAAAAATGTTTTTTCCGATTTTCAACTTTTTTCGATTTATTACAAAATATTTTAGGCCTCTTGGTAGCTAAGGAAATAGACAAAATAACTTTAATAACTAACAATTAGTGTCTTGACATTCTTCAAGAGATGAATAATAAACTCAGATCATTCGTTATTGAACGGTTTTCCAAAAATAATGAATCTGTGACTTTAACCCAGCGCCAGTTTACAACACGTTTCAATTTTATTCAATAGTATATTCTCTAACAAGTATGTAATACAGCATATTCCGCTCGAGTGAAGAGTTTGTCACACGAGCCGAAGGCGAGTTTGACGGTTTCACGAGAGCGGAATATGCTATTCCAAACGTGTTTCAGACTATACTTTTTTTACGTTTCCAAAAAATACCATAGAAAAATAATTTAATTGGAAGAAAGTGAGGTTGGATCGGTCTTAAATTTGTTAGATATTAAAAACAGAGATGTCGCCACGAGTGTTTATTCTGTCATCATATGATAGAATATTTCATTCTGTAACACTTTACGGAATAAATGTCATTCCATAGATAAAAGTGATATTAGAAGGGTCAAATTCCGTAATAGGAGTAGAAAAACACCATTCTGCGATGGGTAAATGGATTTAGAAGAACTGGATCAGCTTCACCTTCGGATGACCAACCTCTTTTTTATACATGGATGACCAAGGGGGGTTAAAAATGACCCCTCCTGATTTTAGTAAACGAAAACATGCTTTCATTATTTTAATGTTATATTTTATATTAAATAATGAAAACAAACATTAGTACAACAAATTTTTATTCCAACTAAACCAAAGAAGTAAAAATATTAACCTAATAAAGGAAGCAATGAAATTTGTAAAAAATGCACTAGAAACCACAAGTATTACATAGTATGTTTTTTAATTTTCGAATGTTCCTTGCAGACAATATGCTTTTTTATCGCATTTCGTTGTAAACTTTATGTCGGAAGATCGACAGCAAATTTTACATCGGCAACGTTTCTTGGGATTTTCAGCTGGCTCTGCATCTTCAGGATCTTCTGAATATTCTGTTAATACCATATTTATTTTAAAAATACTTTTTTAATGAGAAATATTTGTAAAATTTTTTATGCAAATATATTAAGATACTTGGCATAATAATATAGTCAAATAAAAAAATAATCAGTTAAAAATAAAAAATATTTAAGAGTTTATTCAAGAAAAATATACATTGGGGTCAAAATTTACCCCCCTTGGTCATCCGAAGGTTAAAAGGCCAAACCCACAGGGTAACGAAGATTGCCTTATCTAAAAAAAGTAAAATGTCCAGAACGGCGTGATATCTTTATAGAGTTGTAGCATTCGTATATAAAAATAGTTGGAAACCTATTTCAACCAATAATTTTATAAAAATGTTTCTTAATTTGAGTACTTTTAAACCTTATTTTTTAACCAAGGATAATAATTGTAGATGAGGCATTTAAAAATAATATTTAATTTAATATTTATTAATGCAAAAAATGATTTTATTATTTTTTTATTGAATACATTTTAAACACGGCAAAATAATGAATTTAACTAGAATGATTAATTTAACAGTCAATATCCTGAGACAAGTCTGCATCTTTACTGGAAACCGGCAGTTCCCTCCAAAAATGTCTGCGATTTTCTGGCATCAAAAGGCATACTTTTTTTATAATATTCTCCGTTCTCGACTTAGTGACACCTCTAAGTTGTTACCTTACATTTAGTTCGATTGAACTTTTCAAATATTTAGCTGTTAAAAATTTTAACACAGCTGTGTACTGGGAATTGTATTCGTATCCTATAGGAATACCATAAATTAAAACTGTCTCTTTCAAATTTTAATTTGACAATGTCACTAAGGTATGGCCTTGGAGTATGCTTCTTAATTTTCATTAATGAGCTCTGGTCTTTCCAATCTTTAAAGTCATTTAGCTCCATTGATAGGAACTTAACATTTTTCATCTTGACTTGCTCGATTGCACCTTAAAAGTCGCTGAAGTCGTAAACCTTCCCACCAACTCCGGTGTTTGAAGACGAACCATAATAATTTAAAGAATGCTCCACCTGATGGTGGAAACTGTCAGCTGACATAAAGGAATGTCCTGGTTTAAAATAGTAAATTTCTAAAGCATTCGTAGCAATATCGGACGAGTTAATGATATGTGCAAAAAAGGAAAATAAAGTACGATTTTTATTTTACGCACAGTTATCAAGCCAGATTTTAATGAACAAAACGTCACGCTGGCTAAGCAAGTACTTATGAAAAGCGCTACAAAGTTCTTCCTTTTTGCGTCCAGCTAATGCCTCGTGCCAAATTACAGCTGAAAATTGTTTGATGCTTCCCCACTGCCACAAAACTTTCTTTGAACGCAATAATTCGTTGTGTAAACAATACCTGAAAAATAAACATTTTTAAAATTTATTTAACAACATTTTCTCAAATTGATATTTGGATAAATCTAGTAAGGTACCAGAAAAAAATTATTAAACTTAAAGGAAAAACTACTACTAAAGAATAGACAAACAAACAACTAAAAATTTTCACAGAATATTTTTATAAATACCTGCTTAAACGTATAAAGTATAAATACTTTTGTAGATCTGAGAACATACATGTTCTCATTGGCGTTCATTCTCTATATTTATTTCTTGCATCAGTGGCTTATTAATGTGAGTTTTACACTTTTTGCAGGTGTCACAGTTATCTTAGTCTAGGTTGTTTTTAGTATGAGTTTTATCATGTTCGAACACCTTACACTGCTCGCATTCTTCGTGGCCCAGTTTTGTTAACGAAATTTTCATTTTATCTCCAACAAAATCTCTGTAGGTATAATAAGAACAATCAACATTTGTATGCT